CTCCGGAAAAGTTGTTTCTTTTTTTTTTGTGTCCTCTTGTATGTGTATTGAACGGTTCTTTTGTATGTGTGCTCTCGAAATGCGTTACCGTGGGCAATAGCAGCGTTGACTTTTTTTCCTCCTCCTAAATCTGCATCGGATGTACATGCGGTACTTATAACAATACCACCGGAACTGGCTGCAGCCGGCCGAAGACTCGCCTGGCACTGTGCCTCACCTGATTGTTCGTGTGGTCCCTTGGGTCTTGCAGCACCAGTAACAGGTTGGGTTCCTTCTTCCCCTGGCGCGGGTGGGGATGCCGGTGCTTGTGGTTGCCCTGCTTTTGAGTCCTCTGATCGTCCCTTTGGTCCGGGCGGCACGGATGGTGCCGATGGAGTGTTTGCCGTGTTGTCCGTGCTTGTCTTCTCCGTCTCTGCAAATAAAGCAAGGAAGATACACGACAAAATGATACAAAAAAGGACACAAGTGGTACAGAAAGAAGGGGCCGGGACGGTTCGGTCAGGCAGCGGCAGCGCACGGTCCGGCTCGACGACGGGGCGCGACGATGGGGTCAGGTAGCGGCCGCGTATGATCCGCCGCGATGCAGTGGGTCGATGCATTGGGCCGGCTGCATGGGTCGGTGCAGTGGGTCGAGGTAGGACGCAGTTTACTCGGTGAACTTGGGCTAGATGGTAGCAGTACAACTTTTATTTGTTGTTGCCGTCATGTCGTCCGCCGTCCCGCTGCCCTGGCCACTCATATGCGTCCGCTCCTCAACCGCTACCGCTACCGTCGTGGTCTCTACATATTCGTGGCCGCCGCTGTGCTCAGCTCAACGAAGGGACCGTGCTTTTCCGCCGCGGGCGCGTGGTTTTGTTGTGGCGGCATCCATATTCGGCAGTATGATCCCGTGTGCGGCCGTATGATTGGTATGCTTACGAGTCGTATTCGTACTGTTCTTACCATTCGCGTCCTCCTCTTCTGCGTCCTCATCTTCCGACTCTGGCTCAGGGGACGTCTCTACATTGCTGACTCCTTCTGATGTCGCCCCTGCCTTCCATTCTTTTTTAATTTTCCTGAATGCCTGGCTCATTTCTTTCTGTAAATGCCCCCCAATGTCCTGTATTTTCTGCAAAGTGTGCGCATCTAGGTGTGCTGTTCCATCATGCTTGCGTCCTTTAGTTTGTGGCACTTCAAGACCACAATGCTTCACGAAGCTGTCTCTGTTCAGTTTGCGCTTTATGTCTGCATGGCTTTTCAACCACTCCTTCACTGCTTCTTGCATACTCCACCCAGCCACTTGTAGGTGTACGTCGAAATTTTGCGTGCACTGCTTTGTATGTATTAGGTTCTCCCCCATCGGCGCCTCGTCCCGCATTTGTGCCATTGCATACCATGCGTAGAATGTGCCCCATGTACTCGCACATGCGGACTCGTGCAACAAGTTCATGAACATGTGCACGATTGTGCATCGTATAAAAGTCCTGAAATCTTTGTTTACGCCACTATCATCGTCCATAGCCATCCCTGCGCCTGTGCTCCACCCATTCAGGAAATACAATGCTTTAGTGATAAGTGTGCATATAATTCTGTCACCCATGCTTTTAACTACTAAGGTTATGTGAGTCGGGTAATCCGGGTGCTGCCATGCATAATGGTTGCAATGCACTGAATATACATCTTCCATGCCATCGTCTTTCAAATGTTGTATAAACTTCTGCAGTTGTACTTCTGTATCCTGCCATAAACTTTTCTGCAATTGGAGTAATGCGAAGGCGAATACATATATGTCATTTTCTTGTCTTCTCGGAAGATACTCGCGCCAGTCGCCGGTATGCTACATGCTGTACCTCGTTTGCTATGCTCACATCGCGCACACGCATTCCCGTTCACGTAACGAGAACATATGTATGATGCAAACTGAGTGCCTTGCCTGTCGTACACGTATGCACATGCATATGTGTATATGCGCATTCTGCCTGCATCATGCTCGCATAATAAATTACCTGATACTGCTCCTTTTTAGCAACTAGACCCCTTTGCCGCACATATTGTGCTAATAAATGTCCCAACGTCGCATACTTCATATTGTCACAACCATAAACCAATATAATGAAACGAATGATATCATTATCTCTCAGATAACGGCTTGAATATAATATTGGCACAATGTTCTCTTAGTTATTATTCAGTTTCTTAGGCAATGTAACATGTGTTGCATTATAGGGTGCCGTCGGAAACATGTCCCATGAACAAACTATCCCCTCTTTGAATGTAATCGCACACCCTATAAAGCGTGGGGTGTGGAAGAAGCAACAAAATGAAATCAAATAAGGGAAAAGAGAAAAAAAAAGAAAAAGAGAGGGAAAAAAAAAAGTTACACTACACAACGCGTCATGAATACACCCCTTAACAACAACACCCGTTCTCCACTAAACGCCTTCACACACTGTGTCTCTCTGTGCGCGTACACCTAAAACGAACAACAACATGAATGTCTTCTGTCGTCGTCGTTGCCGTCGCTACCGTCGTTGCTACCGTTGTTGCCGACGCTGTTCGCCCTCCCACATAATATGTGTGTTCCGTCCTCCCCGGTCCGCGCTCTCTGCTCCCTCTGTGGATACTTTCACTCGGCTACTTGGTCGAATTCGTCTTACACGCGGCCGCGTTGGTCGACGCGTGTGCTCGGAGACAATGGTCGTCCGTCGTGCACGCGGCCACGTTGGTCGACGCGTTTGCTCGGAGAGACAATGTCCTCCTTTCTTACACTCGGCTACTTCGTCGAATCCGTGTTGCAGTCGGTCGCATTACTCGGCTACAATGCGGTTTACGCGGCCACGTTTGCTCGGAGAGACAATCTCTCCTCCTTCGTACACTCGGGTACTTCGTCGAATCCGTCTTACACTCGGCTACTGCGTCGAATCGTTGTTACACGCGGCTGCGTCCTCGGACAATGGGTTTGCCGGGCCGCGTTTGCTCGGGGAGACAATCTCTCCCTCCTTTGTTACACTCGGCTACTTCGTCGAATCGGTCGTGCACGTGGCCGCGTTTGCTCGGAGAGACAATGTCTCCCTCCGTTCTTACACTCGGCCACTTCGTCGAATCCTTCTTACACGAGGCTACTGCGTCGAATACTTGTTACAATCGGCCGCGTTGGTCCACGCGGTTGCTCGGAGAGACAATCTCTCCTTATAATCGAAGGATTATGCGCATGCTATATTTGTTCTGCACTACACCAGTAGAATGCAGTTGCTCATGTTTTAATAAATAATTTCCCATAAAGGAGAATACGACCCCTTCATATTATTCATTTGAATCTACATTTTATATGCATGTGACCTGTAACACCGTGTCCCCATGGTCATATTAAAAGAAGTTGACTACATAACAACAAACAAAAAAAAACAAAAGCACAAGACAGCAGAAGAGAGCAGAAAAAAAAAAAAGAAGGTATAGAATAAAGTAAACCGGAAATACATTATGTATATCACATAATGAAATAAAAGTGGTCGGCCGTTAGCATGCGTTAGTTCACATTCATATGCCCCGTCATACTAATTTCACAGTTGCTCCAATAGATCATCCACATATAACTCCTTCTCCTGCATACTACTCTCGAGCTCGCATTCTTCGATTACGAACGCGAGCACGAGCATCCACAATTTGGGGGCGGTTAACGGTTTTGTCATGTAAGGTTGCTTATGCAGTTGCGCGCGTGGTACATCTCGCACTCTTAGCATATCTTCTGCGGCCAGTACATTGTCCAGTTCTAAGTGTTTTTCTACTCGTGGTACTGCGCCTTTGTCCGACACTGTCTGCTGCTCTACATTATTCAACAAATGTTGAAACCACGCCTCCTGGCCATACATACACATTTGCCGATGTTGCTTTGCAACCCATTCTTTCCACAAGTCCAATTTCTTCCTGTCCATGGTTGCCGCTTCACCGGATGCTCCGTGTGCCGCCATGTGCTCACGCAGGTATTGTTTCCATTCCGATTTCAATTGCAAAAACCACGGCTGCGTCGTGCACTCGCGCACAATATGCTTGTTGCGGTCAATCCAGTTAATGCAATAAGTGTGGTCGGCGGGCGGGCATTCATTCCGCGGGGAGGAGTGCGCGTCGGGTTCTGTATCTAACTGTATGTTTCTATACAACTCCATGGATCGGGGTCATGAGGTCGACAAGGGTCCGTTGCTAACTGTATAGTTTCCATACAACTCCATGGATCGTGGTTATCGTCGTTAGGTGGAGAACGGTCCGTTGCTAATTGTATGTTTTCCATACAACTCCGTGGATCGGGGTGCTCTTCGTTAGGTGGACACGGGCCCGTTGGGAACTGTATAGTTTGCATACAACTCCATGGATCGAGGTCATCGTGGCTGGATGCAGAAGGGTCCGTGGCGAACTGTATGGTGTCCATACAACTCCATCGGTCGTCTTCATTCGGTGGACAAGGGTCCGTTGCTAACTGTGTAGTTTCCATACAACTCCATGGCTCGGGGTCATGTGGTGGACATGGATTTGTGCCGTCGATGTCAGTGGGTGGAGCGCGGGTTGTCGAATCGTGGGTTGTTACAGAGGCGTGCGAGGTAGAAACACCCAAGACATTGTTATTCCTGTGGTCGTCCCGCATCAACTCCTGCGCACACTGCTGCGCAAACTCCTGCAATACAATCTGCAAATAGTCGTCTTTGACGTTTTCCCATTCGGACGCTTCACATTCGTGGAGCACTTCTAGATGTAGCTCGATGATCGTGCGCTTATGCACGCGTGGGGGGCGTACTCTACCGGATGTGGACGCGGGTTGCCTATCCATAACCAATGTGTACCCGTAATCGGGTGGTGGCAGGTCGCCTCGTTGTAGATGTTGCAATATGTCTTCGTCAAGTGGCGGTGACGGCACGTCACGAACGGTTCGATATGTTCGTCGTCGTTTGGCGAGGTACGCAAAGTACTAAGCAGAAAAAGGGGGGTAAAGAGGAAGGTGAGGACGGTAGGATAAAAGGAATGAACGCGGGTGTACGGGCATATTGGTTAGAACGATCATATATTGGTGCCCGTAGGGAGTTTCTGAGGTATAAACATGCTGAATATGCGGCATTCCGTGATTGCCGTGTATAATTACCTTCCAAAGGGAATAACCCAGAACGGCGACCATGACCGAAGTGAGAAAAAACAGCACGGGAGTAGTGGCGGTAAGGACCGTGCCGGTTAGGTCGGGGACAGCATAGTCACGTGGAGTCCCGTCCGGTGACGGGAGTGTGCCATGTGCTGGAACCGGTGGCACGAATCCTCCTATGGCACCTTCTATGTTGAGTGCAGGTGAAGCGAGGTCAAGTTCGAACTGGTTAGTGCCCCCCTGGGTAGTACTCCCTGTGTCCTGATCATGCTGATTACTGGAGCCAGAGGTTAACTGACTACCACCACTTCCACCAACTGCAGCACCTCCTGCTCCACCACCACCACTACTAGCTCCTCCTCCTGCACGTCCGCTACCGGCGCTGCCAGCAGCCTGTTCACCACCCCCACCTCCCTTTCCTGCCCCACCAGAAATACCACCTACTGAATCCGGTTCGCCGCCTTTGCCGCTGGACCCCGATTGATCTGGGTCCGGGTTCGGTTTGGGTTTGGGCGGTGGTTTGGGTGGATTCAGAGGAGGGGGGTCATCGTTGCCACCGTCCGCGACGGCATCCGTACCGCCGCTATGCTTCGTGTCACTCGTGTTACCGGCCGCTGCTGGTGTCGCTGATGATGGTCCTGCTCCGGGGTCCGCAGGTTGGTCTGGAGCAGGTGTTGATGATGGTCCTGATGTTCCCTGTTCTGGAGAGGGGGGTGTTGCTGCCGGTGCGGGTCCTGCTGGTGGTTGTGCTGATCCGGCTTCTGTCCCATTCTTACTCTCTGTATCCGTGGATTCAGTATTACCTGTATGTTTCAGGGAAGAACAAGCATAAGTGTCAACACTGAAGTTTGTTACGATGAATGCATGGTTGGTTGGCCATGCGGTTGCAACCGATCCGTGACAACACTGTCACGGGTGCCCACATGGTGTCACGGGGCAAGAGACGGACAGGGACATGGCACGGGGGTAGGGTGCCACCCCGGGAAAAGACTCTCTCTCTGTCTCCCACACACAACACACAACACACACAATGTGTGTGTCTGGGTCTGTCTCTGTCGACGTCGACGTCTAGCTGTCTACATCCCGCGGCCCATCCATCGCTCTACCTGCTGCGGCGGCTTACGCTCCCCCGCGCCCGACCGGTCGGTCTGTCGCTCTGCCGCTGTCATTCTTATTCGATGTTTGGTTTCTCTCTGGCTCTGTCTCCGTGTTGTCTCTCTCTGTCTCCGGAAAAGTTGTTTGTTTTTTTTTTTCAGTCGTTTTATTAGTGCATCTTTGGTGCGTGCAAACTCCTCGATTCACCTGTCCCTGAACTTGGGTTAGGACTAGTGGCAGCGGCCTGGTTGTCTTCCAGCGCCTTGAGCGTGGCGCATGAAGGCTGGTGGCCTTCGTATTTGTACGTAGCCTTTACAACCATCACTCGCGAGTTCTCATGCGTCTCTGTGCCGGATGCTGTCGTATCCGAGTTATCGTCCTGGCACGCGTCCTCACCTTGAGTGTCCTTTGACGACTCTTCTGTCGTCTCCTGCGTGGGTCCCTTGCCCGATGGGTCTGTGTTCAGTGGTGTTGGAGGTGGTGGTTGTTGTCCAGGTCCCGGTCCTTGACCTGGTCCTTGCCTGCCTGCTCTTGATCCTGCTGCGGCCGGTGCGGCTGATGCGGGTGCAGCCGGTGGTGCCACAGGCGGGGGTTTGGGTACGCTTTCCTGTGCCTCCCCATCAGCCCTGGCCCTGCTATCTGCCGTCTTTTCCTCCTTGGGTGCTTTCGCGTCCGGGGACACCTCCTTCCGTACTTCTGGTGCCTTAGTTGGTGGAGCTTCTGGTTTCTTCGTTGGTACCGCCCCGTTACTGCTGTCTTCTGCCTTCTTGCTCTTGTCCTTCCCTGCAAGAAGAAAGGAAGATGAACAGACGATAAAAAAGCGACACAAGTGGTACAGAAAGAAGGGGGCCGGGACGGTGCGGTCAGGTACCGGCAGGGTACGGGCGGTCCGGCTCGATAGAGTGTGTCGATGCATGGATCGAGGTGGCACTCGGTGGAATGCGCAGTCGGTGAACTGGGGCTAGATGGTAGCAGTGCAACTTTTATGTGTCGCCGTCCCGCTCCATCCGTCGGGGGCGCCACGCTGCGCGCGCAACCGTAGTCGGGCAGCGATGTCGTTTCCTGTTCCCCCCCGCGTGCGTTGTGGTGGCGGGGGTGCCATTCATATTGGGCCGTATCGGTGGCGGCCGTATGATGCGTGTGCTTAGGAGCCATATTCTTACCGTTCGTTGCCGCCTTTGCCTTGTGTGCAATTTCCTCTTCTACCTTTTTCTTCAAGTCCTCAATGGTCTTTTTTGCCGCCTCCACTACCTTCTTTTCCTGTTCTTTTATTTCAGTGATTTTCTCTTCATCCACCTCTTTCGGGTTATCCATCTTCGTCTTTCCTTGTGTATAATGCGCCCACTTCATACTACAGTCCACTTTGTTCTCTATGTGCCCTATTTTGTCCATTATTTTCCCCTGTGTTAGTAACAGGTCTGCAATGTCCCCATTTCTTATTCTGAATTGCCCAACTGGAACATTATACCCACATTCTGTACATTTCTTCTCAAACACTGGACCTGTCATTGGTGGCGCCGGTGCATATTTACGTGAGACCATGTGTTCCATTGTTCTCCAAGCATACTTTACACCCCTTTTAAATCCTTTGCTAGTGGCACAATACTTCTGGTCCAGTATGTACCCAAAGGCATTCGCTAGCTCGCATCTCAGCTGCTTTTCCATTTCACTCATAAGTGTACTTCCCCCTTTCGCCTTCTTCTCTTGTGTGTTATCACCGTTTGCGAAATTTAACGCAATAGTCATGAGTTTGCAGCGTATTACGTCTGCTACTGTTTGGCCCGTGAACAATGTGGCGGCGTCTGTTATATCGTCCCAACCTGTATTGTAACAATTTACACCATACGCATCCGCGAGCTCGTCCTTGTTGTCCATGTAATCAATAAACTGCTGCAACACCGTCTTCATGGTTTCCAGGTGTTGTTTCTGCATTATGTACATAGCGAACACATGAATGCGCGTGTTCATATTTCACGTATGTTCTATACGTCCGCATACATGTATAGTCCCAAATTCATATATATGCTATAAGTACATTCTGTTTATGCACCTTATTTTCTCTGTGTGTTTTTCCGGTCCCTTCTCGGTTTACTTTAACTTACGCCATATTTACCCAGCACGTACACTTGCTTCCTGTCCTCGTTCAATATGCTCTTCCATGCACAATCGTCTTCTTTGGTTTCGGTCTTCGCGTTATCCTTCCCTCCTCCGCCAGGAGCACGGGCGTTACCACCACCACCACCACCACCAGATGATGCCGTCGTCCCCCCTCCCGACGATGTCGTTGCCCCCACCGGTGTCACCGCTGCTGGTGTGGCAGGTTCTGCTCCTCCGCTGCCGGGTGGTTTGCCGTCGCCGGGTATCGGTCGCTGTGACGCTGGTGCTGAGTCCGTTGGTGGTGGCCGAGGCCGTGGTCTTGGTCTCCTGCCTGGTCCTGTTCCGGGGCTCATGCTCCCTGGGTGAGGTGATGCTGTGTGCTTTGGACCTTGTCTTGGTGTTGATGGTCTACGTGGTGGAGGAGGTGCTGGTAGCCCCGATGCTCCCGGAAGGTTAACTGGTGGATTTTTCGAAGAGGAGTCCTCTTGATTCTTTTCTTCCTGCTGCTTTTTCTTTAATAAGTTCTTTACACAATCCTTATCCTGGTCACTGCATTCCTTCAGTCCTTTTATTATTTCTGGCACTTTTTCTTTTAAATCCCCCTCCACATTCTTTATTTTTTCCTTCACTTTTTCCTTGAACTGCGTCCCTGCGTCGCCATCCCCTACTTTCCCTTTTGATCCTTTGTGCACCTTACATTGTTGCCCTAACACGCCCCAGTCACCGTCCGCTGTTTTTGTCTTATTTCGGTCAATCCATCTTTCCAGTATATTCCACAGAGTCCTTTCCTGTGCACTTGGTCCCTGTGCGTCTCCCCCTCTGTCTGCATCCTTCCACTCGCATGCAACATTACCCAGCGCTCGCCCCTGGACGTCAGTTATTTCATTGTGCACTAGGCCGAATGCAAATTTACCACCAGGTCCCGATAAACAGTTTTTTCCCATTATTTTCTTCATAAATATATTTACTAGAATACATCTCATATAGAGATCTATCTGCTTGGTCTCTTCGTCCGTGTCATCGGCCCGTGGGGGGGCTCCTGCTAATTCAAGTCCATGTTTAAAACGTAACGCTATATACGCTAACTCGCATATACCCATGTCCTCAGCAGTCCACTCTCCCCCTTCCTGCGCAACCCGTCCTGCCTCACACATTATGTGCGGTATCCCACTGTCCTGCGTTGTCTCCATAAAGTGTCTAAATTCCTTCCATACTGTCTCTACATGTGTCCAGAAACGTTCCTACAGGTATTATATTTCGTATATATGCCTGTATGCATTATATTCCCGTCTGCACTGTGCGTGCTTATATAAGTCTGTACATAACTACACATCCCGTGCCATATGTGTGGCCTTCGTGGTGTTATAGAAATTATAGTAGTTCACAACATGAATACGCACACCGCCCGAACATAGTCTCTAATTGCATTCTAACGTTCTTGCATAATACCAGACAACGCTATGTCTGGTTGCCTCATATACTTGCACTTACCGCCCAAGCCTTAGTATTCTTATCCTTCCATCCTGTATCCCCCTTCGCAATATAATCCTCCCACAGTATTATTAAATAGTTCCACATGGCTTCTTTGTTATGGTCCTTATTTAGGATGGCAGTGTCCGTGATACTTAGTCAAACTCCACATTAACTGTACATTAGCCTTCGGAATCATATTCCCCTAATGGGAACTTCTACCGATACATAGTGAGAATATTCCCCCCTGTTCACTAAAATCCTTAACCACAATATCCCCCTTAACAACAAACACCACTTGCAAAACAAGTACCCCCCTTAACAACAAATACCAGTTTAACCACAAATACCCCCGGTAACAACAAATACTCCCTTGTTCTACACTAAAACCGCAGTAATAACAACAACATCAATTTCTTCCGTGTTCGCCTTCCGCTCTTTGCGCCCTCTCTGTGGATCCGTCACTCGAACCCGTCCACTCGAATCCCCTACTCGGACAATCGCGTGTACGCGGCCGCTGTGGTCGACGCGTTTGCGCGGAGAGACAATCTCTCCTCCTTTCTTACACTCGGCCAATCGCGTTTACCCGGCCGCGTTGGTCGACGCGCTTGCTCGGAGAGACAACCTGCCTCCTGCTTACACTCGGCTACTTCCTCGCAGAATCGCGTTTACCCGGCCACGTTTGCTCGGAGAGACAATCTCTCCTCCTTGTTACACTCGGCTACAATGCGGTTTACCCGGCCGCGTTGGTCGACGCGTTTGCGCGGAGAGACAATCTCTCCTCCTTCTTTCGCGCGGCCCCTGTGGTCGACGCGTGTGCTCGTAGAGACAATCTCGTCCTTCTTACACTCGGTTACGTCGTCAAATACGTTCACTCGGTGGCAATGCGTGTATCAGGCCACGTTTGCTCGGAGAGACAATCTCTCCTCCTTCTTACACGCGGACAATCCCGTTTACCCTGCCGCGGTGGTAGACGCGTTTGCTCGGAGAGACAATTCTCCTCCTTGTTACACTCGGCCGCTGCCTCGAATCCTTGTTACAATCGGCCGCGTTGGTCGACGCGTTTGCTCGGCGAGACAATGTCTCCCTCCTTTCTTACGCTCGTCTATTTCCTCGAACAATGTGCTTTACCCGGCCACGTGTGCTCGACGCGGGTGCTCGCAGAGACAATCCTCCTCCTTCTTACACTAGGCTACTTCCTCGAATCCTTCTTACACTCGGTCGCGTTACTGGGACAATCCCGTTTACCCGGCCACGTTTGCTCCGAGAGACAATCTCTCCTGCTTCTTACACTGGGACAATGCTGCGTCGAATCGTTAACTCGGCTACTTCGTCGAATCGGTGTTACACTCGACGACAATGCGGTGTACGCGGCCGCGTGTGCGCGGACAGACAATGTCGCCTTATACTCGAATGCTTATGCGCATGCTATATGTGTTCTGCACTATGCCCGTAGAATGCACGTGCGCATCTTTTAATAATTAACTTCACATAAAGGAGAATGCTACCCCTTCATATTATTCATTTAAATCTACATTTTATATGCATTTAACCTGTACCCACGTGTCCGCATTGTCGTATTAAAAGAAGTTGTCTACATAACAAGAACAAAACAAAAGCACAAGTAAGCAGAACAGAGCAGAAGAGAGCAGAACAAAAAAAGAAGGTATGGAATAATGTAAACCCGAAATATATTTTGTATATCACATAATGAAGTACAAGTCGTGTACGGTGAGCATGCGTTATTTCGCATGCATATGCCCCGTCATCCTAATTTCAGAGCTTGTGCAATAGTTCATCCACATATAACTCCTTCTCCTGCAAACGACATTCGACCTCGCAGTGTTCTATGACTAATGCCAGGATCAGTATCCATGTTTTAGCGGTTAACGGTTTTGTCATGTAAGGTTGCTTATGCAGTTGCGAGCGCGGTACATCGCGCACGTGTAGCAAGTGTTCTGTGCCCATTACTTTTTCCATTTTGAAGTGTTTTTCTACTCGTGGTACTGCGCCTTTGTCCGACACTGTCTCCTCCTCTACACTATTCAACAAACGTTGAAACCACTCCTCCTCACCATATATATGCATAAGCGCATGTTGCTGTGCGACCCACTGTTTCCACAGGACCAATTTCTTGCTTTGCATGTATGGGATATTACCGTACTCACCTAATTCACGGTGCCCGTTGTCCTCGTTTGCCACCATTTGTTCACTCAGGTATTGTGTCCATTGCAATTTGAGGGCATTAAACCACGGTTGCCCCGTGCACGCCCTTAAAATATGTTTGTTACGGTCAATCCAACGCAGCCACGTGGTAGTGTGGGATGTGGGTGTGTCCGTGACGGTGTCGCTTGTGAGTGTGTGTGATGTGATTGCATGCTGAGGATCAGCACATGTGTGTCTGTCTGTGACTGCTTTACATGTGGGTATGTCTGTGATTTCGGGCTTAGGATCCTCACATGTGGGTGTGTCTGTGAGTGCGTCACGTGTGGGTATGTCTGTGACTGTGTCGTTTGTGACTGTGTGTTGTGTGATGTCGGGCTGAGGATGATCACATGTGGGTGTGTCTATGACTGCTTTACATGTGGGTATGTGTGTGATGTCGGTCTTAGGATCCGCACATGTGGGTGTCTCTGTGACTGCGTTACCGGAGCCTGGTGGTTGTGTGATTGCGGGCTTTGGAGGTTCATGTGGGGGTGTGTCTGTGACTGTGTCGTCTGTGACTAACTGGTGTGTGATGTCGGGCTTCGGATCATCACATGGGGGTATGTCCGTGATTGTGGCACATGTGGGTATGTCCGTGACTAGGGCGTTTGTGGGTGTGTGTGTGGCTGGAACGGGGGCGTCGCAGGTGGGATGACGGGCGTGGTAATGACGCGGTCGGTCTGCGTTGGCTAAAACATTGGTCCCGGATAAAGCCTGGTTTGTGCTAGGAGCATCCGGGAAACTACTATACCCCGTGGCGTCCCGCATCAACTCCTGTGCAAACTGCTGCACGACAATCGTCCAATAGTCGTCTTGGACGTTTTCCCATGCGGCTGCGTCACATTCGTGTAGCACTTCTAGATGTAGCTCGATAATCGTGCGTGTATGCACCCGTGGGGGGCGTCGTCGTCGGGCGGCGGGCAATCTGCCGGGCTGCCTATCCCTAACCATGGTGTAACCGTAATCGGGTGGCGGTAGTTCGGCGCGTTGTAGATGGTCTAGAATTTCTTCGTCGAGTGGCGGTGACGGCACGTCACGAACGGTTCGATATGTTCGTCGTCGTTTGGTGAGGTACGCAAAGTACTAAACAAAAAAAGGGGGGTAAAGAGGAGGGTGAGGACGGTAGGATAAAAGGAATGAATGCGCATGTAGTAGTATATTGGTGCGAACGATCATATATTGGAGCCCGTAGGAATGTCCTGCGGTATAAACATCCTGCACATGCGGGATTCCGTGATTGCCGTATACACTTACCTTCCAGAGGAAAAAAGCAATCACCCCAATACCAACCACCGCGGGAATCAGCGCGGGGGTGTACGGCTTGACATCTTCCCATGTGAGGCCGGGCGGCACGGAAGGGGTCGCAGGGGTAAGGGCAGCCCCTCCAGCACCTCCACCAACTCCAGCACCTCCTGCTCCACCACCACCACTACTACCACCCGTACCACCACCAACTGCACCACCTGCTCCACCATGCGTTGGACCACCCCCACCTGCGCCTTTTCCGTCCCCACCAGAAACTCCATCAGCCAAATCAGCATCACTGAAACTGCCACTACTACCCGATTGATTTGGGTTCGGGTTCGGTTTTGGTTTGGGTGGATTGAGAGGAGGGGGGTCATCGTTGCCGCCATCGACGGCATCGCCTGAACATGTGGTGAATGGGGAGACAGGGAAAGGGAAGGAAGAAGGATGTGATGAAACTGAACTTTATGCAGGGCGAGATGGGCCACGGTTGCCGCTTGCCCGCTGTCGGTCGCTGCATTGTTCGGCGACACGGTTTACGTCGGTTGCCTTCGGTTTGCACCACGGTGCATCCCCCTTCGTGCTGTTTGCAACGCGTGCGATGTACAAAGGTTACAATGCTCCATTCAGCTCCTACCTCCCGTATCCGTCTGTGTGACAGGCACTTTGGGTATATCCTTGGGGGCTAATTTAGAATCCGTGTTCGTAATAAGCGGAACCCTCGATCCTGCGCCTAATGCTTCAGGCGAAGTGCAGCCGAATGTTAACCGCACACCCCGAGAAGTACTGCCTGAACTTGCTGAGCCGCCTTCACATGTACTTACTGATTTCTTACCTTGGGTGGTATCATCATCCTCAGGCTGCTTAACATCCCCGTTTGGTCCTGCATGACCATGTCCTTCGGCCGGTCCTGCAGCCGGTGGGGACTGAGGAACAGGTGGTGATTGTGGCACTGATGACTCTCCCTGGGGGGGACCCGATGGTGATGGAGGTGGTTGCGTGTCCGTTGGTGGTGCTGGTAATACTGGAGATGCCGGTGCTTGTGGTTGTGTGCCCGATGCTGGCACTAGTGCTGATCCGGACTGTGACCTCCCGCCTTCGGTGTCCGCGAGTGCTGGTTGTGGTGGTTGAGCGCCTGCGAAGGGGACAAGATATGTGGACAGGGGCGAGTGTTACAAAACAAGAGGATGGATAAACACAGAAGAAAGCTATGGGGAAGGGTGGAACGGCGTGTAGTGCATCGGATGGCTGGCTGGTAGCAGTACAACTTTTATCTGTCGCCGGCCCGCTCCGTCCTCCCTGGTGCAGCTCGGTGCCTTGGCCGCTACCGCGTCCTGTCCTTCCTCGCCGCGACCGCTCAACGTCAGCGAATTCGTTTGCTGTGTTGTTGTGGCTGCCGTGTGCGTGTTGTTGTGCCCGTGCGTGTGGTGAACATTGTGGCGTCATCCATATTCGGCAGTATGATCCCGTGTGCGGCCGTATGATTGGTATGCTTACGAGTCGTATTCGTACTGTTCTTACCACTCGTGTCCTCCGCTTCTGCATCCTCATCTTCGTCTTCATCGTCATCGTCTTCCGACTCTTCGTGTGCAACATGGTCCACGCGCGCCGTACGCCGCGTGTCCTTCTGGACGTTGGAGGTACCCGTAGAACTTAACCTGGACTGCTCTTTGCTTTTCGTATTCATTCTTCCCTCGTCATCTATTTCTTCCTTCATCCCTACAATTATGCTGTCCACGATATTTCCTATCTTCTCTCCAAGTTGTGTGTATTCTTCACTACCTCCTGCAGTACCATGCGTAGTACGGGCGCTCTGTGGCAGACCTGGTTCCCTCTTCCATGGTTTGTTACATTCTGCGCTTGCCTGAGCTTTCTGTATTTCCGCCATTATGTGTGCATTTCCCCTTAACCATGCCTCCACAGCGCGCCGAATGTCCTGTGTGCCTATTTTCAGGCCGCGCCATGCATCCTTAGTACACGTTCCGGCTGTAATTGCACTGCTGAATGCTGCACCTCCTTCGTCATTTCCCATTTTTTTGGCCACCTTCCAGGCATAACTCGGTCCTTTCCACGGATGCCCGCATTTGACATTTCTCAATATGTTCATATACATATTTACCACTACACACCCTAAAATTTCCCTCATATCCTGATCATTCTGACTCCTGTCGCTGTGTGCATTCTTGCCCATTCTCACCGTATTCATGAAGGCCAATGCTGCTGACATCAGTTTACATTTCATAACATCCCCCGTGGAGAAGCCCATGTATAGGATTTTACTGTTGTCCTCATAGTCCCAACCCGCATTCTCACAGTTGATCCCGAATGCATCGAGGAGTTCATTGTCTATTGTGTACTTCATAGGGGCCACAAACTCGTCCAGTAGTGCTTTCATCTTTTCCCATAATCCACTCTATTGTATATATTAAGAAAAAAATAAACATGCACATTTATATTTTGCATACTACCTTGCTGGACATATAATCATTCTGAATTATCCGGTCTTATGCATTTTGGAGTATCTCGTTGAAATTACACATCCTGCAGTACTTACATCAAACTTGTCCTGAGTAAGCCTGGCCTCCCCCGTGGCCCATATGGCCAATACTTGTGCAATAAATGCCTGCACAGTCGTATAGTTCGGACTGTGTGAACTCATCTTGCATGTGTTATCAGCAGAAAAATGCCGCAACGTTTTATTAACATTTTCATATGTCCGCTGAATACTTCAGAAATCCTGAACTTCCTATTCCGATGGTTCCTGTCGTGGCCACATGCTACTTGTGCATGGCTGCCGCACGGAATAACCGTTCTATATGCGTGACAACAGGTAGGAGCTACGAGAACATTTGTATAATCTAGTGTTATAATGCACAAGGAAAAGGACGACCCTGCTTTTATTGCCCTCAATACATATAAAACTTAAACAAAATGTTGCCTATATAAATGCCCATTCTACATTAGGTAATACACATAATTCTACAGGAAAGGAAAAGTGGGAAAATCAGACATATGTAAGAAGAATAAAAAGAAAAGAGAAAAGAGAAAAGAATAAAAATTAAAAAAATAAAAAAAAAAAAAGACAGAAGGGAGAAAATAGAAAAAATGCTACACAACGCGTCATGAATATACCCCCACGCCGCGCGTTCTACACCGGTCTCCACTAAACGCCTTCACACACACTGTGTCTCTGTGTGCGTACACCTAAAACGAACAACAACATCAATGCGTCTGCCGTCGTTGACGCCGTTATTGCTGCCCCACATAATATTTGTGTTCCTGCTGTCCCCGTCGCTCTGTGCTCCCTCTCTCTGATCCCGCTCTCTGGATCCTTTCACTCGGACAATACTTACCCGGCCGCGTTTACTCGGAGGGACAATCTCTCCGCCTTCTTACACGCGGCTACAATGCGGTTTACCCGGCTACGTCGACGACGCGTTTGCTCGGAGAGACAATCTCTCCGTCCTTTCTTACACTCGGCTACTTCGTCGAATGCGTGTACTCGGAGGCAATCTGCTTTTCCCGGCCGCGTTTGCTCGGCTACAATGCGGTTTACGCGGCCGCGTTTGCTCAGCGAGACAAGCGCTGCGTATACTCGAATGCTTAGTCGCGTGCTATGTGTGTTCTGCACTATGCCCGTAGCATGCACGTGCTCATCTTTTAATAAATAATTTCCCATAAAGGAGAATTCTATCCGTTCATATTATTCATGTAAATCTACATTTTATATGCATTTAACCGGTGCCCACTGTGGCCCCATGTTCATCTTAAAAGAAGTTGACAAGATGACGCTAGCAAAACAAGGCAAAAGTAAACAGAAGTAAGCAGAACAGAGCAGAAGAGAGCAGAAAAAAAAAAAAAGAAGGTATAGAATAATGTAAACCAGAAATATATTACGTATATCACATAATGAAATAAAAGTGGTGTACGGTCAGCATGCGTTATGTCGCATGCATGTGCAACGGCATCCGAATGTCATAGCTTGTCCAATAGGGCATCCAAATATAACTCCTTCTCTTGCATACTACTCTCGAGCTCGCAGTGTTCGATTACGAACGCGAGCAGGAGCATCCATGTGTGAGCGGTTAATGGTTTTTTCATGTAAGGTTGCTTATGCAGTTGCGACCGGGGTAAATGTCTCACTCGTAGCATATCTTCTAGTCCCATTACATGTTCCACTTCTAAGTGTTTTGCTACTCGTGGTACTTGGCCGTGTTGCGGTACTGTCTCCTCCTCTACATTGTTCAACAAATGCGTAAACCACGCCTCCTCACAATACATACTCATTTGCCGATGTTGTTGCGCTACCCATTCTTTCCATGCGTCCAGTTTCTTCCTTTCCATGGTTGCGGCTGTCCTGTGCTCACCGGATGCTGCGTCTGCCACCATGTGCTCACGCACATGTTGTTTCCAATGCGCTTTTAATTGCAAAAACCACGGCTGCGTCGTGCACGCCCGCACAATATGTTTGTTGCGGTGAATCCAGTGAATCCAGTGGATGTAGTCCGAAGTCGCAGGCCCGCAACCAGTAGAGGGACTCGGTGCTGTGTCTGTATGTATAGTTTCCATACAATTCCATCGGTCATCTTCATTCGGTGGACAAGGGTCCGTTGCGAACTGTATGTTTTCCATGCAACTCCATGGATCGGGGTCGTGTGCATTGGGTGGGCAAGGGTCCGTTGGTAACTGTATAGTGTCCATACAACTGCATGGATCGGGGTCATGTGGTGGACATGCATCCGTTCCGTCGGCGTCAGTGGATGGATCCACGGTGAAGGAAACATGGTTCCCTGATAAACCCTGGTTTGAGGTATAAACACCCAAGATACTGTTATTCGTGTCGTCGTCCCGCATCAAATCCTGCGCAAATCCTGCGCAAACGCCTGCACGACAATCTGCAAATAGTGCTCTTTGACGTTTTCCCACTCGGTTGCTTCACATTCGTTGAGCACTTCTAAGTGTAGCTCGATGATCGTGCGCTTGTGCACGCGTGGTGGGCGTCGTCGTCGTGCGGGCAATCTGCCGGGCTGCCTGTCCCTAATCATCGTGTACCCGTAATCGGGTGGTGGCAGTTCGCCGCGTTGTAGATGCTCTAGAATGTCTTCGTCGAGTGGCGGTGACGGCACGTCACGAATGGTTCGATATGTTCGTCCTCGTTTGGCGAGGTGCGCAAAGTACTAAACAAAAAAAAAGAAAAAGAAGGACGATGTAGAAGAGTGCATTTTTGTTAGAATGATCATGAAGGAGCCCGTGCGGAACACATTTGTGTATGGTACATATGACGGATACGCATATACGGTGTCCACTCGGTTATATTTGTGCGTGCTTGTGTGCGTTGTGGCTGCACTTACTTTCCAAAGGGAATAACCAAGAAGGGCGACGATGACGGAAGTGAGAAAAAACAGGATGGGAGTAGTGGCGGTAAGGACGTCGCCGGTTAGGTCGGGGACAGCGTGGCTAACGTGTCCGGGACCTTGGTTGTTATTCGATGAACGCACTGTTCCATGTGCTGGAACCGGTGGTACGAATCCTCCTGCGACATTTTCTATGTCCTGTGTAAATATATTTACTGGGTCGAAAGGGAACGGTGCAGGTTGCGCGGAACGCGACGTATGACCATCCTGTGTGCCCCCAGTAATGGCATTGGGGCCTCCTGCAGTACTACCACCCCCTGCAACAGCCTCCTTACTCTTAGTACCACTACATGAAGAAGTGCTGTCTGAGGAAGAGGTACTACTGGCACCCTTCGTACAATGCGTGGGGGTACCCCCGCCGAAGCTACTGGAGAGGTCGAAATCATCTGGACTGCAGGGTCGTTGCGCTTTATCTGGCTCAGGGTCTTTTGGTGCTGGTTGTGGTTCAGGCACGTTTACTGCAGGTCCTGAAAGAAGGTTTGGGAAAAGGACAATGATGACATGCAAGGTTTTGTGTGGTGATTGCCCATGATAGACCACGGGTGGTTGGCCATACGGTTCCAACCGAGCCTTGACAACACTGTCACGGTTGCCCACATGGTGCCACGGGGATGGAGCCAGGCGTCGGATGGCAGTACGACGGCGTGGTAGGAGACGGACGGCGGGACATGGCACGGGGCACGGTTGACCGCCGGTCGAGTGACGAGGCACGGGGACGGTGCGAACGGTGGTTGGCTGGTGCCACTCCGGGAAAAGACTCTCTCTCTCTCCCACACAACACACAACACACAACACAACACACATTGTGTGTGTGTCGACATCCACGCCTGTCGACGTCTACATCCAGCGGCCGACCCATCGCCCCGTCGCTCGGCCGATCGCTCTGCCGCTCATTCTCATTCGACGTTTGGTTTCTCTCTCTCCGTGTTGTCTCTCCCGCTCTCTGCGGAAAATGTGTTTTTTTTTTGGTTTTTGTTTTTTTTTCACTACTGTTATT